GGGCAGAGCCCGTCTCCTCACCAGCGCCAAGGGGCTGTGTGTCCCCAGAGGCCCTTTCTGCGGTGAGAGCAGCAGAGCTGAGGCTGGCACAGGGACCCGCGTGCTGCTGCCGTCCCTGGGTCCGCAGGAGGGCTGTGCTGTCCCGCGCCCGCTGCTGCGGCTCTGCTCTGCCTCCCTGCGACAGCCCGCGGGGCTGGGGTGCCCGTTGTGGTGCTTGCTGTCAGTCTCCAAAAGTATTTTTATACAAAGTTATTTTAATATTAAAACCTGTGTGCCTTGGAACGAAACGTTTGCCTGTGGCGTGTCTGGGCTGTTGGGCACAGGGATGGGGAGATGCCGGTGCCGTGCCGGGGAGCAGGGTGGCACGGCTGCGTCTGTGCCGGAGCTACTGAGCTGGAACTGCCAAGAAAGGTGTGTGCCGGGTTCAGCTGCAGCTGGGCTGCCCTGATGCCAGCGGATTAAGGGATGTGAGAGCCAGGCTCGCAAACACCTTTGCAGGTCTCCTCCGAGCACAAGGCTGGGTAGGGCCAGGCTCCCGCTCGGCTGTGGCTCAGTGACTGTTGGGCGGTTGCGGGATCTCTCCTTCCCCAGCCTGATCCCTCTGCTGGTTTCCCCCTGCTCCCAGCTGCTCTCGAGAGCCTGGGGTGGCCCACTCTGGATCCCGTTTAATGGCAAAAGCTGTGATCCCTGCTGCGTGGCCTGAGGCCAGGGGTTTGGCTGTGGTTGCCAAGTGGCCAGTTCTGGGCAGAAACCCGTGCAGTGGAAAAGCAGGTTGTTGTTTTGGTGCTGGTAATGGTTCTGAGAGAGTTTGTGTCCCTTCGGTGTGGGGCTGGAGCAGGCACCCTGGCCCTGGGAGGGCTGCTGGTGGCTTCTGCAGGTTTTCGGGCGTGTTGGCATTGCCAGCAGCAGAACAGCCAGCGGCAGCAGCGCGGGGATGTACTGGCGCAGAGGACTAAACACGACTCCTGCAGCCCCAGCTCAGACCCAGAGAACCAGAGACCAATGTGTGGAGGGTCAGGTTCAGGTTCCAGACTGGCGAGATGGCAACAAGGTGGTGAGCTCTGACTGGGTGCTGGATGCCCAGTTTGCAGGGGGGAAGCCTCAGTCCTGTAACAATAGAGCACGGCTGTAGCCAGGACCAGTTCATGTCTGTTCTCCTGTGCTGGGTTCTCTTTCCCAGCGGGGTTTTGCTGCAGGGGAAGGGAAAAAAGCCGCAGGGAATCTGAGGGAGGCTGAGGTGGTTCCTGCCTGGGACGAGAGGCATGACCAGCAAGCATCTCTTCCTGCTCATGGTTGGCTGCTAGGTGGTCCCGTGCTCGTTTTCCTCTCCATGGGTCCGTGTACGCGCCCCAGGAGCAGTTCTGCCTGCCCGCTCTGGAGAAGAGCTCTGGACGTGGTGTAGCCAGGCGCCCAGGCCACCTGCCCGCAGTCGTTGCTCGTGACTCCAGCATGAGGCTCCAAGCCTCAAACAACAAAGAGCAGACCCAGGAGCAGAGCCCCGCGCCTCTTCCTTCCACACAGCCACGGGTGTTGGTGCCTCTCCATCGCTGCAGTCACTGCGTGTCCGTGCCCTGCGTCTGCTCCGTCCCGTGGAGCTGAGCGTGGCGGGGGCGCAGAGGGTGACCCAGCCCTCACTACAGAGGGTGGTGGTGGGGAAGGAGAACGCTCCGGTGTCTGTTAGCAGGCGGTGGTCCCAGCACAGCCCTGCGCTCCCCTTGGCGGGGAGGGAAGGATGTTTGTTTTTCTTGCTTCAGCAACGACATCCTCTCTCATAACAGCTGACTCGGGCTGAGATGTCAGTGCACAAGGCAGGAGGAACGCTTCTGCCCGTGGCCGCCTTATGCACCCTGCCACATGATGGAGCCGCACACGTGGGGTGCTCTTAGTTTCTGCTGCAGGAGAGACAGTCCATCCTTTCTGGCTCTGTGTGTTGGACCAGACCTGTCTTCTTGCTCAGACTGCTGCTCTGCGCTTCGCCGTCTCTCCTTCCTGGCAGCAGTTCAGGGTGTAACAGATGCTTGGGGAGAGCACAAGAAAATGCAGAGCGAGCCTTTGGCTAGTCACAGCCTTCCTGTTGCCAAACCCTGACTTTAGGACCAGGAGATGATCTTTCTGGATTCTGCCTGGGTTAGGATTTCTTCTGTCTGCCTTCGCAGAACCACAGAATGGTTTGTGCCGTGGCTGGACTCAGTGTGCGCGGCAGGAAAATGTCATCCCGGCAGCCAGTTCTGAGCAGGGCTTTGCAGAAGCGCTTGGGGATCGTGGCTTACACTTGGCTGCTGGCTCTGCCCGTTCTCTTACAGCAGAGAAACGCTCCTGGACGAGCAGCTTTGTTCACTTCTGCCCAGACTGGGGGGTGGTGGGGAGTCGTTAGGATATGAAACTTTTCCTGGTGTGAGGACAGCCTGTGTGTGTCCCTGTTCTCTGCTGAAAGCCCCTGGCCCAGATGAGCCAAGAAAGGTCAGAGTTCTGGTCTAGTGGCCACAGCTGGGATGCAACAGAAGCAGAAGCCTTTGTCTGTCGGCCAGGTGGCAGTTTTTACCGGGAGAAAAAGACTTGGGAGCTGCTCAAGACCCAACCAACCTCTTCCTCTTGGGGTTACCTTTTTCTGTTTCCTGTTCTGAGATATGTCCTTTTATAGCTACTACCTCCTCCCCTTCAGGGCCCAGCACTGTGCAGAGGCGTGAGACAGCTGTTCTGCCAGGATATCCTCTCTCATGCTGCCGTTGGGGAAATCTCTCAAGTTCCCTCTGGCTGTGGAGTTGGTCAGAGCAACAGCACAGTTACTGCCCTGCTTCACACTGTGGTGATGGGTGGAGGGAGGGCTTTTCAGCAGGGACCCCCAAACAGCCCCGACGTTGTGATTTGCTCCTCCCCATAGTCCCTCTCCCCAGGTTTCCCCTTTAGCAGCTTCCTTCTATCAGCAATACCTCACAAGCCCATTTGTTTGCCCCTTCCCATGGCAAGGTGTTTGTTGACTCTGTAGCCCGGTTTGGTACTTACCATGTGGTTTCCAAAGCAGTTTCCACCGGCATCGTTCGTTCAGTCAAGCTGATCCCCCGTTCTCCCTGCCCTCCCCAGTCTGCCTGAGTTTGTAATTTTCGTATGGTCCGGTTTGCCTGCCCCAGGCTGGCCATTTGTCTGTGCGCCACTGCCCTTCGCTGCTGCTCCTTCCCCGGCTCCTCGTGCTGTGAGCTCATTACTAACACGCAGGGATTAGCCAGCAGCTTGCACGCCCTAACGAACCCGCATCCCTGTGCCTGAGGAGCGTCTGCCCTGTCCTCAGGGGACCTGCCCTCAACTCGTACCCCAGCCAGCTGCTGAGGGGCCGCCTCCTGCCAGGGCGAGGGAAGGGCAGGTCCGCACACTCGTGGCTAGCCAGGCCTCTTGCTGAGCTGGGGCACGGCTCTGATGGCTCTGCTCTCCTGCCACAGCGATGCCCCGGGAGCAAGGCGTTTGCGTCGTGCCGCTGGTCGCCTGCAGCCTCCTCTCAGGCAGTGCGGGTGAGTGAGTGCCGGGATTGCTCCCTACGGCGCACATTGTAAACTGCTGGCAGCAGGTGAACGTTACGGCAGATAACTTTATTTTGAAACAGCTTGTCAGAACACAGTAAGTAGAACACAAACCCCTGCTGGTGCTCGGCATCCAGGAAGCCCCGTGAGACCAACCTGTGAGACCACCCTGCCTTGGCTCCCGCCCTGCCAGGGGCAGCCGTCCCGTGTCTGCACTGGGAAACGGGCTGGCGCCTGCGCGGGCACTGGGCGGCTCTCGGGAAGGCTCCAGGCCAGTGCCCCCCTCTTCCAACCCCTGCCAAGAAGCCCTCGCTGGGTTGGCTGGCGGAACAGCC